AAACACTCTTTCACCAAGCAAAGAAATTATTAAGCAAACATCATGTCCAGAATACAGGGGTACATGGTAACTTAAACAGAGCACGTTATAAAAACGAAATAAATAGATGATCCCATCTTCACTGCTAAAACCACAGCTAATACTGCATCTGGGTAATGCGTTTAACTCGGGCCTAGCAAACAATAAACTCAAATTCTTCTCCAATCTCCATGCCTGAAAGCAGCATGCCAGGTTTTGAAGAAACCACAGACGAATCAAACTAGAGATAAAATCACGCAGCTTGTGAGTGTCTGCGAGTGTCAGTGAGACAAATTCAAAAAGAAAGCACTGTCTGCAGAGAAGAGATTGTGAGTGTTGGACGACTATGTCAATCGCGTTAGTCACAACGAAAAGTGAGATGCACCGAGAAAAATAAAAGCTAGCTCTGAGCTTCCAATGGAAAACAATCATAGAAGCTTGACAGCCACTTAAATTACATGCTCTCCTTGGAGCATGGACATTCACGCTACTATGGCTCCTGTTTTTTCACGGAGCATTGGAGCTCCATCAATGGCTAGCTGTTTAATTTTTATGAGTTGTATATGGCGACTAATTGGAGTACTCTTCAAATATTATTATTGAATCAAATATTAGATTTTCAAATTTAATTCATGTCCGTCTTAAGAGGTCAATTTAGAATCTAGTCATCTAAAATTTATTTCAAATTAAATTCTTAAAAAAATTATTTCAAATAACCTAATTGATTTTAAAAAATAAATTCAAAATATTTTCCAATTTCATTCTCTATTGATCTATTTTCAAAACTAAGCTAACCTTATAATAAAGTTAAACCCACCATACAAAAAAACAAGAAGGGCTTTGCCAGTTTTAAATTACAGTTAATGAACTCCCGGCAAACCCCCGCTTACTTTAAATTTCTGTTACAGGTAAAACAGAAAGAAGAAGGATGAGCAGAGCTTGCAGGGAGATTGAGCGCAACATCTTGCGCCTTCTCCACGGGCGCGAAACCCGAACACAGTTCCGTGAGATACATGCACATTTCCTTCGACATGGTCTCAACCAACTCAACCAAATCCTTTCCCATTTCGTCTCTATTTGCGGGTCACTAAACAAAATGGCCTATGCGAATCGGATTTTTAAGCAAACCCAGAACCCCACTATAATCCTATTTAATGCCATGATTAAAGGGTATTCTTTAAATGGACCCTTTGAAGAGTCTTTCCGTTTGTTTTCTTCAATGAAAAATCGAGGTATTTGGCCGGATGAGTACACGCTTGCGCCTTTGCTTAAGGCGTGTTCAAGTCTTGGTGTGCTTCAACTTGGGAAATGTATACACAAGGAGGTTCTTGTTGTTGGGTTCGAGGGTTTTAGCGCAATAAGAATTGGGGTTATAGAGTTTTATAGTTCTTGTGGGGTAATGGAAGATGCTGAGAAAGTGTTTGATGAAATGTATCGAAGAGATGTGATTGTTTGGAATTTGATGATTCGTGGGTTTTGTAAGAGAGGGGATGTTGATATGGGGTTGTGTTTGTTTAGACAGATGAGAAAGCGGAGTGTTGTTTCGTGGAATATCATGATTTCTTGCCTAGCACAAAGTCGGAGGGATAGTGAAGCTTTAGGACTTTTTCATGGTATGCTGGATTGGGGATTTAAGCCAGATGAGGCAACCGTAGTTACTGTTCTACCTATTTGTGCTCGTTTGGGTTCTGTTGATGTTGGGAAATGGATTCATTCTTATGCAAAATCAAGCGGGCTTTATCGAGATTTTGTGTTTGTGGGCAATGCACTAGTGGATTTTTACAATAAATCCGGCATGTTTGAGACTGCTAGAAGGGTATTTGATGAGATGCCTCGAAAGAATGTGATTTCTTGGAACACATTAATTTCGGGTTTGGCTTTTAATGGGAATGGTGAACTTGGGGTTGAATTGTTAGAGGAGATGATGAACGAAGGGGAAAGCCCCAATGATGCGACATTTGTTGGGGTTTTATCATGTTGTGCTCATGCAGGACTGTTTGAAAGAGGGAGGGAATTGCTTGCTTCAATGGTGGAGCATCATCAAATCGAGCCTAAACTTGAGCACTATGGATGCATGGTTGATCTCCTAGGGCGTAGTGGATGTGTGAGGGAGGCTTATGATCTGATTAGAACCATGCCTGGGGGGACTCCAAATGCTGCTCTATGGGGTTCCTTGCTTAGTGCTTGCCGTACTCATGGTGATGTAGAGCTTGCACACCTTGCAGTAAAAGAGCTTATTGATCTTGAACCATGGAATTCTGGCAACTATGTGTTGTTGTCGAATATGTATGCAGAGGAAGAGAGATGGGACAAAGTTGCAAATGTACGAGGGATGATGAGGGAGAAGAATGTCAAGAAGACACCAGGGCAGAGTGTTATTGGATAAGTCTGCAGTGTTACTTTGATTGAGCTATTATTCTTGATTCTCACACTGGCTATACCGTGTGTCCTTCACAGCAAGGCTTGCAATTCAAGAGTGAACGAAGCATCTAACAACCTTTTAACATCCTGCATAAGTTCAAAGGAGTTTCAGCAAGCAAAGCTGCACGAATGCCTGTGGAAGTGCAAGGAGGGGAGAATTTGTGAAAGTAGTAGAAAACCTAGCAAGGAAATTCAGGGGCGGCGGACTAACACTAAATACTATTTTGGCCGATTTATTTTCAAGACAATCAAATCTAGAGGGTGCCTGTTTCAACCCCGAATTTCTTTTAACATAAATGGTCTCTCGTTTTATTGTTATAAAAAGCTTGTGAGACATTACTTGTCAAATCTCATAAAAGCATGAATATCAGTTCATGAAGCTTCCAGCATGTGTATGTCTGTGCTGTATAGAAGATTGTGTATTGGGTCATGGTTGCCGTGGAATTATGGAAATGGCAACGAAGGGCAGTGGAATTTATGTTTAAAAGCTTTGTTAAGCGGTAAGATGTAGAAAGGACAGTACAGAGCATCTGTCAATGCATGATTTTAGGACTACCATTTTGATGATCAAACAGCTGATTTTATCCATTTTATGTTTAATTCCTTTCTGTTTTGTGAAGATTGTTAAACCGAAGAAACATGTTCCATGAGAGAAAGAGAAAGAGTAATGAAACAAGGAATTATTTATTCATAAGGGAAGCCTTACACAAACCAACTTTCTTCATCAGGAGCATTAACTAAATGGGACACAAACCAAGACCAATAGGAACTGAGAAACAGGAAACCTTAAATGTCCATATTAACAAACAAAAAGCAATTGTGTGAAAGATCCAACTTCCCTATTAATAACTTGCCGACATCCAACGTTTAACCACCATTACAACGGGAATAGACATTAACAGGCTGTTTCTTAACAGAAACAGTAGGCTTTTCTTCAGCTTTCACACTGACAGAAGGAACAGCATACCATGGTTTATTCTCTACTGAAGTTTCCAACTTCACATTCCTTGTCTTGACTTCCTCCTTTGGTGTAGCAAACACAGGCCTTGCATAGCTTCTTCCTGGAGAAAAGCTGCTCTCTCTCTGATCCATTTGCTTAAATTTTGCCAGAAAAACTTCAATAACTTTCTAGTGTGTTACTGGTAGAAAAAACAACAATGGTGGAATGCTATATATAGAGGACTCTATGAGACTTCCTGTTTTCTTCATTTAATCGAAGTGTGACCCCTCGTTTTATGTTGACATGCATTAATGTTTGAAACCTCTAGTCATCAAAGTATTGATCAGGTTGGTGCAAAGCACCTTTTAAGTGCAGCCACTGTTTTCAATTCCATAGTTAATGAATTCAATAATGTTTCACAATTACCATGAATTTTTAGTGATGTTAGTTTTAGTAAAACCATTATCTTTTTCATGACACCAAATCATCAATCTTGTGTTTTAAAATTATAAATAAAAATAAAGTTTTCGAACTTTACAAATTAAATTTTTTAAGTTTACCATATTTATAAGATTTAACTTGGAATTTTACCTGATCTTGGATTTTGGTTATTAGTTGGGTGGATCAACATGTGAATCAGTAATTCAGCCTGAATTTTGACTTTTTTTTTAAAAAAATCAACACTTGCGATGATTTTTTTTTAAATCTTGTTATAAATGAAACCTGCCATGGGCTAGACTCTAATCTGTCGAGTCAGACAATATTTTACAACTATAAGATTTAACCGTAATATGCCTCTCTTTTTTTTAATGATTCTGAAAAGGTTTGACGTGGGAAAGTTTCTAACACAAATCAACATAAACATAAATAAGAAGGAAACAATGCTAACAAAGTGGAGCCACCAAAAACTGATCCACTTTTAGGAGACTCAAAAGCACCAAGCAAACAATTAAAAACACTCAAAAACTACCAATACTAAAATTGACCAAAACAAGGTAGCTAAAACATTGAAACCCAATTGCTTCTCTATGGGGTTCCTTGCATAGTGCTTGCCGTACTCATGGTGATATAGAGCTTGCACGTCTTGCAGTGAAAGAGCTTATTGATCTTGAACCATGGAATTCAGGCAACTATGTGTTGTCGTTGAATATATATGCAGAGGAAGAGAGATGGAACAAAGTTGCGAATGTACGAGGGATGATGAGGGAGAGGAATGTCAAGAAGACACCAGGGCAGAGTGTTAATCGATAAGCCAGCAGAGTTACTTTGATTGAGCGATTACTCTTGATTGGCATACTGGTTTTACCGAGTCTCCTTTACAGAAAGGCTTGCAATTCAAGAATGAAGGAAGCATCTAGCAACCTCTTAACATCGTGCATAAGTTCAAAGGCGTTTCAGCAAAGCAAAGCTGTGCGAATGCCGATGGCAATGCAAGAAGCAGAAAAAGGAAGTTCGGGGATGGCGGACTAACACTAACACTAACACTAATTTGGCCGATGAATTTTCAACACAATCAAATCTAGAGGGTACCCTTTACAGGCTCTAATTTCATTGACATAAACATGGCTGTCTTGGAATTATGTCAACACCAATGAAGTGCAGTGGGATGTATATTTGAAAGTTCTGCTTAGCGGTAAGATGTACAGAGGCTAGTGCAGGGAAACTGTGATTGAATGATTTTAATACTACTGATGTTGATAAAATGATGCTCATGAAATTGCTGATTATATCCATATTTTATGCTTAATTCCCTTCTGTTTTGTGAAGATTGTTAAACCGAAGAAACATATTGCATGAGAGAGAGTAATGAAACAAGGAATTATTTATTCATAAGGGAAGTCTTACACAAACCAACTTTCTTCATCAAAAGGAATAACAAACTGCGACACAAACCAAGACCCAGTAGGAACTGAAAAACAGGAAGCCCTAAATAACCATATTAACAAACAAAAAGCACTGTGTAAAAAATCCCACTTCCCTCTTATTAACTTGCCACATTCAAGGCTTATCCACCATTACAACGGGAATAGAAATAAAAAGGTTGTTTCTTAACAGAAACAGTAGGCTTTTCTTCAGCTTTCCCACTGACAGAAGGAACAGCATACCACGGTTTATTCTCTACTGAAGTTTCCACCTTCACATTCCCTGTCTTGACTTCCTCCTTTGGTGTAGCAAACACAGGCCTCGCATAGCTTCTTCCTGGAGAAAAGCTGCTCTCTCTTTGATCCATTTGCTTAAATTTTGCTAGAAAAACTTCAATAACTTTCTAGTGTGGTGGTAGAAAAAACAACAATGGTGGAATGCTATATATAGAGGACTATATGAGACTTCCTGTTTTTTTTTTTTTTTGATTTACGTGGGGTGTCCGGGCCAGCTTGCGCGCACCACGACTAATCCCCACGGCCCACTAAATACCCTGCA